TAGCAAACGAGCTTGAAGTGGAATTTTAATTTATGTTTGACAGCAACCAACTTTTTGTGCCCTCTGAAACCATTCACCATAAACTCGCTAGGATCAAACCAGAGTATCTCTCAAACAATCATTCAAGTTGATTGCTTGCTATCTATGGAAATATCCATTCATCCTCAACGAAAACTTATAATTCAACGAACAAAACTTCGCGTAATTCTACTTTTTTCTTTCTGGCTTAGTATTGCAGACGCATCCAATAATTTGACCACAGCGCAATGTTGACTCTTTCCATCACATGTCGTTCCTTCTCTTCTCCCCCCTCTTACTCAAAACAAAACATTCGTCTAGTCATCACATCCTCTTTCAGATTACCAAATAATCTACCGAAACATCAATCGTGTCTTTAATCAACATTATATGAATATGAATAATCACGCCAATGGGCACAATAAATACTTTCCTTCCAGCACCCAACCAATGGCAATCAGTTCAGTTTCTCGCATGAAATTTTCAATGCTAACACATGAAACTATGAGACTGTTTCACAAGCTTCCTTTCAATATGAACAGACGAGAATTGAAGCAGGTTTGTCTTCTATCACACATTTACCAACAAGATGCGGAACGTTAGGAAAATGAATGGGCGTTAGGATTACGAGAGACCGCTTCAGTGAGCATCGCCATTGTAAACAATATTCATATTCAAACGAATCCATCTGAACATGATTTTCTTGAGCAGAATGAGCACATATTTACCAAATGTCAATTCGTCACCCTCTTCTTAGTAGCTGGCCTCGTGTCGGTTAACCATGTGACGGGCAGCAATTATAGATAAAGAACCGTCAGTCTTAATAGATGAATGGCAATTTATTTTGCGGAAAATCTTTGTCTCTTTATCGTTATCTTGAAAGAGTNTACTGACCAAATGCAGGAATTTGTAGCATATGATTAGTAAGATTTTGCGCATTCAATGAAGAGTGAATCATTCGAAAATTTGTTTGAGATTTTTTGAATGCGCTAAGAAAATGGATGGATGCTTCATCGATTCTGTTAAGATTTAATCAAATTTTTTCACTGACTGACATCTCAATTCGACAGTGAAAATAAATTACAGAACAGATTTCCAGCTAATTATTTGCGCATGCGATAAATTATTCATACTGACTGCTCTGGTCTTATGCTTTTTTTCCGTGTTAATTTGAAACGAATACGAATGAAGCAATACGTGAAAAAACCTCCAAATAAGTCAGCAGAAGAGATATCTTTCAAGAAGAAGAAACTCAGCAGACAAAATGGAATTCACTGCAAAGCACGTTGAGCCATTAAGCTCAAATTAAAACAGCTCAGTTTCATTTTTAGAGAAAAAAAATGTTTTCCAAGAATGAAGGAAAGGTGTAGGAGGGAATAATTTTTCGCATTCAAAATTATCATTCGTCCAGAAACTGTCATTTTTTCATAGTCAGCCAATTCTTCTTTTCACTCAGTTAAACTTAATTAAAGTCTCAGAAATTTTTCACATTCGTTAGTGAAGATGAATAATATTGCTTTAGTGTAATCTCTAATGTTATCAGTATCAGAAATCGAATCATATGCTAGAATGAACTCGATTTAATGAATACTCTCACGGGAATTCCTCGAATGTTTCGGTTGATTTCATCAAGATTAACGTTCAGCTAACTAATTTACTCTGTTTGTGCTGCTAAGGAATGAATACCACCTTATATTTAATCGTATGCGGAGAGTGATTAGAAAACAAAGTGAAGCATGTGGCAAGCAAACATATCAGCAACAATAACAACCTAATGTGGCTCATTATCATAATCGAACGCGACATTTAGTTTGTTCGCAACAATTGTGTTGATGGAAGAAAGGCCCACAGACCAAACGGTAAATCAGCAGTTCCCAAATGATCATTCTCAGATCATAAACGATCGAAGAACTATAACTTCTTCCAGTTCGATTTACTAAATTTAATGTCGTCAATAAAAATATGAATCTTCTAACACACCAATTAAATGATTGAATGTATTAAATGCGTAATCATCGCTCCAAATGTAATCATCGAAACATAATGAAGTTCGAGTTCAATATTTACAAAGCAACACCAAACTGCAGACGGGACATAAAAAGGCGCAATTCATGGACCACAGTGAACAACAACAATTTCGTTTGATCATAATTAAACGGCGTCTGATGAATAATTGACTGCTTCCGTTTCTCATTCTATGCACCTCAATCAGTGTCTCGGTTGAAGCAGTAATCAGAAAACATCTATTATAACAAAACCATCTGCAAATTGCTCTTTTGCTGTGTTCAATTCGGAAGCATATACTCCCTCCAATTCAATGTGCTAAATTTAATATGTTCAATAAAAATATGAATCTTCTAACTGATGAATTGCTATACAACATAAGCGTAATTTTGCTTCCCAAAAGTATGCTCAGAGCAGTGCACGATTGAATGGATGGCGTGTTTCGTTTGTTGCACATTGGAACAAATAATGAAAACAGTTACAGCATGTATAGGGAAACGATAACAGAGAATAGAACAGAATCAATAGAAAATGGAAAAATGATTCAAATTTCAATACAATGCATCCTCCCATATCCGAATGATCAAATAAACATCCTCGAAAAATTATACGACTGCTGCAAAGAATATATGCAGAAACAATTGCGCATAAATAAAAATCCGTGCAGTGATGTAATGATAAACAATCATCGTCGCAATTTTTATCATGACGAAGTAAACTTTTCACTCAGTATTCACAATATGCATTGTAATATTCATAAAGGAACGCGAATAGGTTCAGTTATAACAAAATGAATTTGTTCTTTTGTATTTCACTGTTCCATTGCGAGAGAAGACCGCGCAAACCTATCTGACTAGAATTTCACCTGATTGATGAAGGCAAGACGCATCTTCACACCTGGTTACTTGGCTATTGAAATGAGTAATTGCACTGAAAAGCTGCATCGGGCCATCTATACACGGTTCAGATGACGAAGAGGAAATTCATCATGCAATTTGCAGTTCTGGTAAAATTGATAAAAATAAATGGTTGGACAAACAACTTTGAAGAAGCCAGAAGGATAGCACATTCGAGTAATCACATGTGAGCATTTAGAGATCAATAGCTGCTGCTGCCCATGGCCCATTTGTTCGGCTTTGAGCGGTCAGGATGAGTTTGTGGATAGGGATGGGCGTGACTGGTGGTGGTGGCCTGGTGTTTGAATGCATAATGCATGTTTGATGTTTAAAAATCCATATGCGTTCTAGTCACTAAATGCAAAGCAGCTGTAGTAATGCGGTGATGATGAAGATTTAGCGTAAGATTCGTCGAGATGTAACGAAGAAGTATCATTGCTACTTGATGTGAACTGATGTGTTTGTGCATTTGTTTTGTTATTTTTCATCATTTTGGTTAAGTGATCACTGCATTTCTGACTTATCGCACTTTTTATACATCCGTGAAACCTATCAATCGCATCGTCTTAGGTATATGCATTGATAGATCGCATTTTTGGATGTATGTAACGATTTCAGCATTCTGCTACGTGATCGAGATTGTTTGAAAATCTTTTGGAGGATGAGCCTTGAATGGGCGATTTTGAATCGATGTACGTATATGTAGGATATGAACAGCGCATGAACATTAACATCAACAGCACGAATCTTAGCATTTTAGAGGATGAACCTTAACATCAACAAAATACAAGCATATGCGGAAGTTTATCAGTTCAGTTCATTGTTCACCGAAATGTTGTACTTTATCGCCATTTCCGTAAACAAACATCAGTGTAGGTACGAGTGACTTAACCGTGACATTTGTGGATGAACCAAGTA